TTTTTTTTTTTTTTTTTTTTTGAAAGAGAGGGGGTACAGCAAAAACGCAAGGTGTGCTCGTATTACACATGAAAGCGCTCTCGATGCGTTAATAGGTAGAAAACGAGGCACCCCAGAAACTCGCGTGTGCGTTCACTTGCGGAAGTCATTGTGTTCGGGTTGGGGTTTAAGGGGGGGCGAGAGAAGGAGAATTTATTGGACACGACGCGAAAAACGGCGCGCACTCGATATTCATGCCTCTCGTTCGCTCTACATATCCTGCACGTCTAGTTTTAAGCTTCGCCTCCCCTTCCTTTTCTCTCTCTCTCTCTCTCTCTCTCTGTCTTGCAATTTTCAAGACTTCATCGATAAATAAGCAAAAGGTGCTATCGAGAATACGGTTGGGAAGCAGCCAATGCACACGCGTGTGTATAAATATACATGCACACGTATGCGTATCGTCTTGCACGTGAATATTAAATCGTTTAGTCCATGGTTTTACATCTCGCGTGCAATTGAAAGACTAGATGACTCGTTTATTTTTTTTTTTTTTTTTGTTTTTTTTTTCTTAAATCCTACAGCCTTTGAGGATGGAATATATATTGCACACCTTCTTCTTCTCATTTCCAAGTTGTTTATACGCACAGCTTGTTTATGGCGGATTAACGTTGAGGGGATAAGCTTTCGTATTTCCAAAAAGAATAAAACACTGTATTTCTACATAATTTATACGCTTCTGTTACAGGACAGCGGATTTCACATGTACTACATACAACTCTTGATTTTGCAAACAATACCTTTGTCCATCGTACACACACGTAGTTAATTACATTTCTAAAAATTAGCGACGTGGAAGAAAAAAAGTATATTTATACGCCCGAGCAGCGGTTAGGAGCGGCGTGGATTTTTGAGCGGTCGCCCCTAAAGCATCCGGGTGAAGAATTCAAAATATGTCTGAACCCAGCGAGGCGGAGCGTGATATATTATACCCATATACGGACGACCGCAACAAAAAAGCCACCCCCGCCCGCGTCTCGGTAAAAATATGCCCCTCCCCCCTACCCCGGTATCTTGTCCTTATTTCGGCGCGTGTGCATTTATATATATATATACTTATACACCCACCCCCCCGGACTTTTATTGCAAGCCGTATACGGAGAGGCGTCCACTTTATTCGTTAGCGCAATATGCCACCACGAGGGTTGGGCGGAGGAAGAATACAAGGACGACGAGCTGGTGTGCCGGGCAATTTGTCAGGACCCGCGGCTTTTAGACACGCTCGATGATTTTCCTTCCGACCCCTCTCAGAACGCAGGGTTGTACTGCACGTCGTCTGGATCTTCCTTCACCCCCCCCCCCACCACCCGCGGGACAAAGCCACAATGACATCGTTGTCGTTGTTTTTCTCTGTCCTACAAGCTCCCAAAGTCCTTGTAGCCGTTCGGCAGATCGGCCGCCATGTGCTGGGAGTAGTCGTACGAGAGCAACTTGAGGGCCACGAAGCCACCGTTGTCGGCTCGGCTCCTGAAAAAGACCCCAGCGCTGTTCATCGGCACGGGGGGGTCCGTCGTCACCTCCTGGATGTCGATGAAGGGGACCGTGCTTTGGCCAACGTCCCCGTCCAACCCGGTGTGGGTGAACCTCAAGTACTCGTTGTCGCCGGACCTGAGGTTGGTCGGTGTCCCGGTGCGCGTCGGGACATCCCGGTTTTCTATGTCGATCCTCTTACTCGAGCTGACACACAATCGTTCACGTGTTTAGTCAGAGTCGCGAGGTGACCCTTTGGTTGGTATGTATAATATATACTCACAAGAGGTTGTGGTTGACGAATTGCTGCTCGTGCCTCAGGTTGAGGACGCCGTCGTGGTAGTACAAGGGCGCGGCAAGGGCCGTCAGGTGCAAGCGCCGGGTGTACGTCCTCGAGTCGGACACGCCCGAGGCGAACGACAGCCCGGTGAGGACGTAATTCCTCGGCACCTTCAGCTCGTCAAAGTTGATTTCCCGGCCCTCCTCCCACTGGAGCGTGTAGTAATCTGCACAAAACACGCGACACGTATATTATGTAGTAACTTTCAAGAGCTGCGCTGAAGTTTGGCCTTACGCGCGGGGCTGTCGTTTATCTTGGACCACCGCGAGGTGCTGGCGTTGATGCGGCCGTTGGGCAACAGTTGCCCTTCCCTTATCTGGATGTGCATCATGTTCTTCCTCTTGGCGAATCGAGCGCCCGTTATCACGCTGCGACAAATTTTGATTAATCAACGCGATTCCTATGTATGTATATACGCAAATTGTATCTGTCGTTGCTTACTAATTTTCTTCGGCGTTGGTCCTGGCGAGGTCCAAGCTGAAGTGTCTCTCCGACTTGGGGGTGTTGTCGGCACAGACGCAGAAGCACGGGTCGCACCACCACTTTGAAAATTCGAATTTCCGGGACGCTTGCAGTCTCGCCGTGGAGCACTCGGCCCGTCGATCGCCATAACGGAGTCCATTGTTGTAATCTATGAACTCGTAGTAGCGGCTGCTGTTTTGTCCCTGTCGAGTGGAAAATCAATGTCAAGGTACTCCCTTGAACATGTGTATACATAGATGCAATTTAAACGCACCGATATGCAAATGGACATGTCGGTGTCGACCTTGAAACGGCAGTCGTGCAACGAACCGTCGCAAAATCTCGCGTTGCAAACTTCCCCCTTGTAACTGCAAGACCGGAGATTTTTTCTAAACGGCCGGCTGTAGTCGGAACAACTGGCGCTGCAATCCTGATCGTTGCTTATGTCCTTTTCGTTGATAACGAACTCTTGGAACACGTTCTTCAGCTCCGTGTACGTTTTACCTTCGAATGAGAATACGTTGCGTAATTATCAAGTCACGCCCGTATAATACTCCGTTGCACAAAGACGTACCTTCCACGTGCGTGGGTGGATTGTTTTTTGACACTTCGCGCGACGTGTTCTTCATTAATTGCTGGAAGGTACTCAAAGTATTGTTGACGCGTCTACCAAAGTCGTACTCTGTTTTTTCGATATGAGTCGAGAAATTTCCTGTTAACGTCGGTTATTATAGTTTAAATTACATTTCAGCGAGTTGTATAAATATGCATACAGTGTATAGATTTGATTGAGCACACGTTGCGACCTACCGTGTCCATACAAATTGAGGACTTCGTAGCTGTATCTGATTGTAAAAAAAGCTTTGAGCTCCGTGTACATGACGCTGAGCAGAAGATCGTAAACCAATTGCTGTGGACTCATCGGGATTTGGTTGGCTTCCACGAAAACCTTGTAAAAAAAATTTGGATCAATTAAACTCGTGTGTGATTCGTGGAAGCCTTGGTGCAATCATACCTGCATGTTTCGTGCCAATAGTGTCAAGGAACTAGGAACCACACCGTAACCTCTGACTAGGTACTTGTGTATGTCGTCGAGCAGGTGGTTAAGTCCATGTCTTGTGTCGGATGTCACGCTGTTGGCAAACTCTACCACCTTGTCCCTGTTGTATCTCCCGAGTTTTTCGTAGTAGGCAACAAACGTTTCGTAATAACTGTCCACACTGTCGACGTGCACGAAAACTTTGGTCAAGCGATTGTTCAACTCGACCAGTCCGGGCAACGTTCGAAACATCTGGCTTAGCATGTCCTCCTTCATGTTTTCCAGGTCCGTTTTGATTTCGTACTTGACCTTTGCCAAAGACCTCAAGTGGTCCAATAGCTGATCGTGCTCCGCGTTAAAGTGTTTCTCGTGCTTTGGACCAAGCGTTTCTGGATCCTCGCTCAAGTACCTCACGGTACTCTTCAGTACCGACGTGCCATCTTTGGCTATTTTGATGACAGTGGACGCTACACCAGCTATTGTGGCTACCGTGGCCAGAGTCACCAGTTCGCCGTTGACCGCGAATTTCACTGATGGGGTCACCAAAAGTAGAACACACATTATTCGGATGGACCTCGACATGGTGGTCTATTGGCAATACAATCTGATCGGAGAAGCTTATTTGATCACAACTCGCGACTCGATACCTGCATTCTTGAACGCGTTTTCAAAAGAACTGACAAAGGTACCACCTCGGCCTCGTATACAGATTAACTTTGTGCATCATCAGTACACTTCTCAAGGTTGAAAAAATTCATACTTGAAAACCATCGAACGTGAAAGAGTAATTATCATCATCGAGTGACAGCCACCTGTGAAATTCGATTAATCTTCAAGGAGATTTTTATTTATTTAATTTTATTAAAATTTTTATCAAAAAAAAAAAAAAAAAAAAAAAAAAAAAANTGCCTGCATAAGCATGTGATTCTCTTCATTTTTTTAATCTGTACGTCTTTCGCATCAAGAATTTTAAAAACGAAGTTCTTTATGTCACGTACTGGGGGGGGGGGGCTGGAATTTTAAAACATGTTGTTGTTTTTTTTTTTTTTTTTTTTTTTTTTTTTTATTCCTCTCTTGTGCCCTCTCGCATCTGTCTTTTGTTCTTTTTATTTTCTCCGATGTATACTTCAAACGTGTATACGAGCCCTTTTCTCACGACTCTGATAGAACGGCCTCTTCCGTGTACATTAGGCATAGGAACAGAGAAAGAGCGCGTACAGCCAATTACCGCTCGGCTTTCTTTCCTCCTCACCTTTCGACCCTCCGTATCTTGCCCTTTCGTCTCACTATTGGCTCCTCGATCCTTTCCGCATTTCTGGCCCTTTGCTCCCTGTGTACGACCATTCGAATATTTACGGCTTACATTTTACAAATCCCCATAGTTTTTTAGTTTTTAATTATTAATTTTTACATTTTATTAATCAGTAAAGCATACTGCACTACTCAAAGATAACAGAACATTGCTTACAATTTCAAGCTTAATTTTTTCAAGTGCCATAATTTCAATAAAAAATCATATGAAAATAGTTTTTCCTATAAAAAAAATAAATAATACATAAATACACATACGTAGACAATTAATCTTTTGAGAGACGATTATATTTTTGCTGTCCACATCACGAGCGGTTGATCGATATTTTCGAGTAACAATTTCATAAAAAAAAAAAAATTTCCAAACTACTCATACAACAAAACAACGTGCTCCAAATAAACTAATTTCCTTCGAGTGTTTGTGCTTTTAGGAAAAAGAATCGGGCACAAAAGAAAAAAAAAAAAAAAAAAAAAAAAAATAAGACTCCCTCGATTCTCCCCTGCGTCATTGTGCGATTAGAAAGGATGACACTTAAAAATTTCAGTGGGGGTGCAGCTATACGCGTATACACATCCGGGACACATTGTGCGCGTCCCATATACACAATCGCCAACCCCACCGCACTTTCGACAATCACCGCGTACGCATCATCACTTATATCCTCCGATTTGTTATTTTCCCGAATGACACACTCGAACGTCCAATTTTGTACTTCAAAAAAACATCACGCAAACGTTCCCATTACGGGAAATCATCGAGCCCAACATTGATTATTTTCCGAGTTAAAATACCCATCTTACCCGCGACTTTGTGAATATCCAAAAACACAGCGCGCCTCAATTCGAAATCGACAAGCAACGAGTTCCCTTCAAACACGCGCGCACTCGTACATTATACGCAATAATGGCAAAAGGGTGGAGTCGTGTACACGTACCATTTCCCTCGGCAACTTTTTCTTCTTCTCGTGCTAAGAGCCTCCGGGACAACTGCAAAGAGACACAGAGCCAAGTGGAGCGTGGAGCAATCGGTTATAAATCCAGCTCGTAAACATGTCCGTAGTCTTGTAGGAAACGGGGTGAAAATGGCTCCGGAGCCTAACCCGCGCGACAGCCCCCCCGAAGCGATCGAACGCGCGCCAGACTGACTTATGGTGTGTATTTATTGTGTACAAGGTGGCTCGTTTGGAGGAAAGAAAAAAAAAACAGCCTCGGGGGTAAGACAGTAGGGCGCTCCCGTTTTGAATAATGGGCATTTTGAGAGCTCTGGGAGAATATCGGCTCCTCGTCGTGGAATCCTTTTTTTTTTTTTTTTTTTTTTTTTTTTTTTTTTTTTTACAAAAAAAAAAAAAAAAAAAAAAAAAATGTACCATCGCAATCCGAGAATCGACGTATCATTGTTTGTACAACCCCGTTTTCACGATTGGCTTGCTTCATCCGGTGTTTGTTTTCTTGCAACGCACCTCATCAAATCACGGATTATTGGTCGTTCGACGTAATACGGAAACACGCGAATCAGGAGAGTCGATGCACCAGCAGGTGGGGAGGGAGGAAGGATTCAAAAATTAGAAAAAAAAAAAAAATACGAAAAGTATCATGGACAAAGGGAGAGTAATGGGGGGGGGGAGCTGGTGCTCATTTGATGCCGCGGCTGAATGGACCTTCATTATGACGAGACCAACAATCGGCTTCATTTTCTCTGTCTCTCGCTCTTCCCTTCCCCGGATTGCATCGACAATGGGCCGACAGTTAGTCGCTGCTGGGGCGCTCGCGTTGTCCTTTTGTTGTCGTCTTTCAGGTAGAAGAAACGAGGAAAAAGGAGTCGATCGATGAGGAAAAGAAGCGCTTATACATCGGAGATTCCAAAAGTGCGAGCGAGGATATACATGTATAGAAAAGAAGCCACCGAGTCATTGGGTTTGATTTGCGAGCCGATGACCAACCGGCGTTTTGCACCGGCGACACGTGTTAACCGATGATTGCGCTGATGCGGAAGAAAAAAAGTGTTCGAGCAATTCTTTTTTCTTTTTTTGTCTCCCATACATTGTCCAGAGTCTCGCGTTGCTTCCTTTCGGTAACGAAAATATTGTTGCTCGATTCGCCCGTTCGCGCATATATGTATATAAGTGCGACCGATACGTAACGTGTGCGTATATATACGCTTCTTCGGCGGCGCTCCAGCGGCTGTACAAACACCGATATCCGTATAATATACGAAAGCGGCTCTCCCTGCGTGTATATACCCGACCGCGGGCTTATTATAATACAGTTGATGCCTCTGTATGCCCACCTTTCGTCTCGTGCCTCTTTGTGCATTGTCGTACGCGTCTAGTTTGCATTTTTCTTTCACGCATATTTTAGGTATTTTCTTCGTCTTTGTACACATCCGATCGATCCCAACCGATAAAGGAATAGAGCTATCTCGGTTGTATCGCGTTTTTGGGGATATTGTTGCTAGCTCGCTTTTTCGAGAAAGTTTTCGTAAAGATTTAATGATGGAGAAGCGATTTGTCAAACGAGGTCCAAACAGCGTGACACGTATAACCAACGGTGCACGAAACCGATCTATTGTGTTTTAGATGGAGCCGTCAGAGCTTCGTTTTTCCGAGTAAAAACAATTAATTGACTCTTGTTCTTGGAAATGCAGGTGTGCTTTTCTGTGGAAACCGGCTCCAAAGGAAAATTGATTTGCACTCGATTGTGTCGCAAACTCCGGGCTATTTTATAGAATATCCTGCCAGTTTTTCTTCTTCCGCTTTGTGTCTTTTAATCAATTTTTCCGTGGTGACTCAAATTTTATTGTGATTTTCGCATATTCAATGATAATAATTATATAAAAATATTCATTAAATAGTAATACAATGCAATATTCTTGCGTGAGTAAAATAGTTGTTAACAAGACATGAATTTGTCTAACAACCATTTTTTAACTAATGAATTGTCATACCTCCGTTTCGAATGCAATAATATTATGAATGGAAAGTGTAGTAAAAACAAAAATTAAAATAAAATATTATTACATAACGTTGCATTTTAATTGAATAATATTATTATTAAAATTAAATTAAATCATAGTTTAGCAGAGAATAGAATGCAATTTAATGATAAATAATGTAACCGAATG